GGGGGAAGCTTCTGTAGCAATGGAGAGTCAGGACTCTCATACCTCATTCACACCAACGCAACTCCGGTTCAAGCTCCGTGCTAGAGCTTTTCAGGTTCAGAACCGGTTCTTCGGTTTAGCTCCGGCTCTTTTCACACTGCCCAGAGTCCGACTGGTGCTGCGTCATTGCGTCATCGTTTGCGTCATTACGTAACCGTTTGTGTGCCTGCTTCATAAAGCCAAACCGTGCGGAAACTCCTCACAGCTCACACCGACAACAACAACAATGGCCGATTGTGCTCCAGCTTCCTCTGTACCTGTTCGGAAGACCAGATTCCCAGTAGGTAGCTGGTCTCTTCAGTGGACCACTGCTGCTTCTTAAGTTTCTCCATCGTTGTGTACAAACTGGATAAAACGCCAGCTTTTTGTTGTTTTTCAGCAGTTGATCCCGCCCCTGCCCCCGCCTCGACGTAAGCGTGACGTATGTGGTGCTTTTGCTCTGGCCGGACAATTTTTTGGTGCTCGAAATGAACCGGATTCCGGAGCTAAGAGGCTGCTCCGCTGCGGTGTGAAGAGGAAAACCCGGTGCTTTTCAAGCTCCAGCTCCGAACCAGCCCTGAATCACCGTTGGTGTGAATGAGGTATTTGTATCTATTTGAATCATTATATAATACAGAATGCAACTCAATTCAGATTTTTTAGCCAGGAAAGATTGTTCTAAAATAGAAATGCACAACATAATTATCATGAATTCTGGAAAAATGTTGCCATCTAATACCATTATATTTGAAAGGAGGGAGATATCTCTGAATAAGATATCTTGAAAACTTGGAAACTCAGACCAAAACATTCTAGATTGATACAGTTAGACTACAGGCAAGTGGAAAAATGTGTGTTTCTTATTATTGGGTGAAACTTGCTGTGGTCTAGTAAAAAAACTGCAACAATGTATGCATATTCAGAAGGGTTATGTATACCTGATCAGGTGTGCAGAAGATGTGAGCGTCGTCCTGGCAGAACCTTCGAACCCGAGTGAGACCCGCGAGCGCTCCGGAGAGCTCGTTACGGTGCAGTGCCCCGAAGTCGGCCCACCGCAGAGGCAGCTCCCTCCAGGAGCGCACACGCTGTTCAAACATCACACTAAACACAAGAAGCCGAGTGAGGCTCGGTCTCTATGAAGGTGCTAAACTGGGTGTGTTTTTGTGTGAGAGTGTGTGTGTTTACCAGTGAGCAGGACAGTTCATGGGCTTGAGAGCGTAGGTCTGAGAGCCCTCGGACGTCACAGTGAACATCTGCTCGCTGTAGTGCTCCCAGTGGCCCGAGCGCTCCCATAATGCAGTGCTGTACAGGGTTGGGGTCACGACCTCGTTGAATCCTCGCCTTCGGTATTCACTCTACGAGAAGCAGGAAGGAAGGATGTGTGTGACAGTGAGTGCAGGAGGGGGGGCAGACTGTCACAACAGAGCACTAATTGAAGGCTAACAAGAGCAATATCCTGACGGCTGGTATGAACATGTTTAACCTCAGGATACCATCAACACAGCATTTATTGTTTTCTTTATGTATGTACATGTTTATGTGAGGGATGCCAGCATGCACGATATTATAATTTTAACCCAAAAGGGGATACCATTTAAATTAAGACATTTTAAGCTGCATTTTTTTGATTACCCAAACCATACTGAGGTCAGAGTTGAAGTTTAATATTTAAATGACGACCAGTGGGGTATTTCACTTTCGAGTCACATAAGCTGGGCCGAACAGAGTTATAACATTTAGGTTCATTTTAGGAATAGTGCTGCAGATGTGACAGAGGCTGCAGGTGAAGTTATACCGTAGAGTTTATTTGTTCAGTTATTTAAACAGACTGAACAGAGTTTATGTTCACCTTAATGAAGTCGGTGAGGGTGTTGTAGATGTAGGCGCCTTTAGGCAGGAAAAAGCAGCTGCCTGGACTCACATCATTAAAGAAGAACAGGTCCTGGTCCTGTACAAAAACCATAGACATGAATATTTATGACCATAAAACACAATTTCCTGACCTTATTTTATGAAACTGTCCTAATTTAGATTTTGTCTCACCGTCCCGATCCGTCTGTGGTCCCTCCTCCTCGCCTCCTCCCGCTCCCTCTCCCACTCCTCCTTGTCCTTCTCTCCTGGAAAGGCCACACCTGAAAGACGCATCAAACCTGAGGACTCGGTCTCATTGGACAGGGTCACGGGCGAGAGCTGGGATGTAATAGATGTGAAGCGAGGAGGAGAAGAGGAAGAGAGAAAATCACAGAGTGAACAAAGAGGCGGCAAAAGACAAAGGGGGAGTGAGGGTCTGCCAGGAGAGAAGGGCTAACCATGAGAGTGACAGCATGTCTGATAGATGGCAGTGTGTTTGTAGCGGCTGAGAACAGGAAACTGGCCTCTGACAAACACAACATCCTGCTGCAGATATTTCCTGCCCAGTGGATGCCCAGAATGAAAACTCCTCCCTCTCCCTGGATCAATACAGACAAGGGACATTCCTCCAACCCGGCATGTGTCCCACTGGGCCAAAGGAGTCCAAATTAAACACACTTTTAGAGGGTAGATGAGGTTAAGCCACCCTTTTGGATCATCATGTATAAAATATAAATTATTAAAAGTATTATTCAAACCTTAAAAATATGTATATTTATACAGATACACAGCTAAAAAAAAGTAGAGCTATAATAGATTAAATATTGTTGAGCTTTCAACAATTCACAAGATGAGATTGGATAACATGGCTAATTAAAACATATTGGGAACAGTTGTACAATAAAAATATACTATATAATTTAATATACTAAACCAAAAAAAGGCACACTGACACACTCACACACCTGTAGTGTCTTGAAGACCTTGAGGAGCCCAGTGTGTGGGAGGAGGGGGCCGTCGCAGACCGCTAGGCTGTCTCCACATCTGAATCACACGAGAAAGGATAAACTGGGTTAAATGTTTGGCTTTGGAAGAGACTGCAGGTAAATCCACATCAGGCGTGTGAGTATTAATACCTGTACACTGTGACAGTGGGGCCGCTCATCTGCTCCTCCACGAGCTGCAGTCTCAGTTTACTGTTCTGTAGAAGTAAAAAACACAGAACATTCATACATGTCACATATGGAGAGCAGGACAATATGAAGGGGCCTGACATCTGTAAGTAAATATAACCGGCACAGCATCAGGAGCCGCTCCTACACAGTGAGTAATATCACTGATACTCATATGTTATCAAATGCAACATCAACACTCAGACAAATTGCAACAGGTACAGAGCAATTCAGCATGGCAGAACAAGGACCTGTATTTATTAATGTATGAATAATGATTCTGCTAATTCTTAAATTTTACAGGTGAAACATATTAACCAACTCTACATGAAAATGTATATGCAAATTAAAATGAATGACAGCAGTCTATTACGTTTGGCCAGTTTCAGGGACATGGTTTTAGGCCCTTAGTTACGATGACAAGTTAAACTGTTTGCTGTTAAAACTGTGTATTGTTATAAAATATAGAACATTGTTATTTCTGACCTGGAAGAGCTCTCGGACCTCTTCAGTGTTCAGCTCCAGTCTGGTCAGAGGAAGTTTAAGGGCTGCGGCTTGTTTACATTTCTCCTCCACATCACTCAGAGACAAGGCACTGTGTGGAGAGGACAGAGACACGAAAACATCAAAAGCAATACGTGATCAGACTTGGCGGCAATGAAAATGTTGTTTTTAAAAAGGCTAAACAAGACCTATTGTGAATTTTGGGAATCACTACAACTACTTTGTCTGTACAAAGCTCTAGAGTTACTGGAAATATTTAGATAAACCGAGTTGGACACAATCTCACGTAGTCACCCCTGGTATCTAATTCTAAGAATAGCATTATAATAATAACATTTATGTAGCCTAATCTGTTTCATCATTTCGCTAAATATACTGGGATTATTCAGAATAAATAGGCATGTAAAAAAGAATGAATGTTGTTTGAATGTCAATATTATGAATGAAGCCCAAGTATTAAGCAGAATTTAGGCTAAAGTGTTAAAGCACTCTAGAAATGCAAGTGGTCCACACAAAGCCAGATCTTGAGAAAGATTGTGACGGCTCACCTGTTTTCCAGTAGATGGTCGCAGTAAAGCCCGAGCTCTGACGCTCCTTCTCTGCACACCTCGGCACCGAACACCGTCTGCAACACTCCGCTCAGGACGCAGGCTCCTGTCCGCCATGCTGCCTGAGAGAGGGAGGGTGGTACAGAGTAAGTGTGGAGATATAGAGCGTGTTTTAAACAGTTTCACTAACATGAAAACATCTAAATATCTTCAATTGGAATCCAGTAATTACTAAGAAGATGTTCTTCAGTGCCTCCTTTAGTAAACAAAAAAACGTTTTTAATTACTTGTTCAAGCAATATTCGAAACACAATCATAAATATCCAGGAGTTACACTGGCAACGGGAATGTGAAAAGAAGTCTGAATTGTTAACTTATTAAAAGGCAATGTGAGAATGAAAGCACGTGTAAAGTGATTACCTGTCTCCCCTCATCTGTGTCAAACCCCAGCAGCTGTAGTTCACAGTCTACCTCTAGGGGCCGTCCAAGCTCCCACAGCTCTCCATTCACCTTACTGACCAGCGCTCCCTTCACACTGCAAAGAGATTCAAAAACAATGTTATATCACTTTAGTAAGAACAAACATAATACGACATTAGATAATTATAACATTTGATTTCTGCAAAATGCATTTACCGGGAACTCTGAGCAATAAAGAGAGGTGTGGTGACACCTGCTGTTGCCTTTACTGTCCGGCCGTCAGCCAGTTGGATACTAAGGCGAGTTTCTGCAGCTTCAGCTTGGCTCTTATTGCCTTGCTTTTCTCGAAGGGACTCAAAGACCCGCAGTCGCTCAGATAAAGCCGAGCACACCTGTAGGGACAAAGGAAACATTTAGATCAGGATTTTAAAAAAGGTAGAAAAGATGGCATCTGTAACACTGTGAATATTATGACCTTCATTACATTTAATTACTGCTGGGCTGCTGTACTAGAACGCATTAGTTCAACCTAACTGTAATTAATAAACCAGCAACAGAGTGCAGTAATAGTTATATAAATACATGAAAAGTCTTAAACACACAAACTTTATGATTTCCTTCTCATTTATGTTCACTCACTCCTTGTTTACTTCAGTTAATAGATGACAAACTGAAAAAACAGCCATATACCAAATGATGAATTGTTATTATTATACGAGGACTACTTTACTCCTACTATATTAGGGAACCAAATGTGAGCAAGGAAGCAGACATATAGGTAAGATTGGGTTCATTTCACTTATATAACACTGTACTGTATATTAACTACATCACAAGTATGTCCAGAAACCCAGTACCAGGACATGTCCCATCAACTGAAACATCACATTAAGCCTCAAATCAACAAGGTGCATCCAAGCACAAGAAGCTCCAGACATTTGTTAAGTGACTCGCTTAACACAGTATTCTTAGAAAAAGTAATAAATTAATCAAAACAGGAATTGCCTTTTACACATCACATTAATGATGTTCTTCGCACTAACTTTATAATCCACTTCCTATTTACATTAAATTGTATACGAACAGCTGACACCCACAGCCCAAATGATCGATTTGGAGGTATTCAGAAAAAAATATTTTGGGTATTGGTATATAAATGACAGTGCGTAAAGTAACAAAGTACATTTACTCAAGTACTGTACTTAAGTCAAAATGTAGGAGACTTCCTCTCTACCTGAATATTTAGCTACTTTTTACTTCTCTACTTCACAAATAAATAATGTACGTACGTTTACTCTTAATAACTTTAGTTGCTTTGCAGATTTGGATAATTAATGAGTAATGTGAAATATAAACAAGACTTGAATGAGAAGTTAGTTACACCTGGAGTTACATTCACAATCCAGTGAATCCACCCTGCAGTATACAAACTACAAAGTGATTAAAACTAGCTGCACCTTTACCAGCTTTAATAAAACATGAATGCATCAATAATTATAATTAAAACATAATATATATTATTCTGAAATGGGCGAATTTGCATGAGTACTTTTACTTTTGGTGCTTTAAGAATTGTTGATGCCAATCATTTTTGCACTTTTACTTGAGTAACATTTTGAAAGTAGGACTTTTACTTGTCAGTTGTCCTACACTTTCTACTTTTAATTAAGTACACGACCTGAGTACTTCTCCCACCTCTGAAATTATTACAGGTATACTTCAAGAAAGTACCAAAACATGTTAAATATACAAGTCAAAATGACATTTAAAATAGAGATGAATAAGTGTTACACAGCAGTCTCATACACTTGATCTCTCTACCTCTGCACACTGACACTGTTAGCTAGCCTTAGCTGTCACGCGAGTTACTGTACAGTAGAAAGGACAAACTCGCGCACCTGGCTGTACCTCCTGTGCACGCGAAGTGTCGCACGAGCTGCCGAGCGACAGACAACCAGTCTAAACAGCTGTGTCACCGCCATCCTAAACACACTCGGTCATTTCCAAATATCACACATTTCTGTCACCCTTCTCTGTGAGCGGCCATAACACCGGAAGCACAGATTAGGAAGTACGCGCTGACGTTGTGGGCGTAAACATATGACGCTGCTATGAAGCTCAGTGCGTGCGCGCACCCGGGCGTACACACCAGAGCGCGCATCCACATGAGATCTGCACATACGGGAGCTCTGCAGTTGATAGAGGGCTAATAGAGCCATGCACATGCAGATCAGGAATTTCTCACATATTTAAATATGATGAAATATAAACGAAACATTGCATTTAAAATCCGGGAGTTGGCGACAGGTGCAACATAACACAAGCTCAGCTATAACCACAGGACATCAGCTAACCAGTAATCCAGTGATCCACTTGTCACAGTATTTTCACAGAGACCTGCAGCATCATGACTGGCAGCCAGGCTGAACAGCACAGTCGATGCTCCATTACGGAGCTGCGCACTTTGCTTTAAACCCCGCCTGATAACTACAGCTGCATTAAAAGCCTGGTTAGTGCCTGATGCATTTGAGATCAATTACTAAATCGATAAGTCTTACTCAATACAGTTTATGTATACCCCGTAAGAAAGCAATCTACATCATGATAAGCCTTCCCAGCGGATAGTAGAACAACAAAAGACGCAATGTAAAAAGTTAAGAAATGTTAACTACATGCATTAATCATTCAATAGTATCTTGCAGTAAAGACTGTCAGGTGGACTGCTATAGCTAGGTTAATTATGAACTTAAATCTGACATGGGAAGATAATCAATTTGAGCTTTCAACATTTTTGGAAGAATAAGCACAGCACAAGAGGCACTGCGGTAACAGCAGTGCATGGAGGGCTGTCATTGACCTGGAGTAAGAGCTGAAATACCACTTAACTGCCACTAAGGGGAGCTAAATCACTTCCAAGAGGTTTATGTTCCATCTGCAGTCATAAATACCAACTATTATCAATGTTAAAATACATTTAGGCATCTAATTGTATAAAATACCGTGCATTCAGAAAGCTCTTACGTTTTTATCTGACTATCCACTGTTAACTGGCCACTTCCAGACAGTTTTACTGGAACCGATTATAGTTCAACTCTTTATGGATGTTTAAACGTGGGACCCTTCACTATTTGCTATTATTTTCACTATGTACATGAAATACACTAGACGTTATACTAGTTTGTGTGTAGAGGTTTGGTGAGAGAAAACAAGCAGAGGGTGGCCTTTGTCAGATAACTCAATACAAATGAGAGCCGATGCATTTGCCTAATGATAAAAGTATTTCACAATAAAGCCCTAACTTGTCTGTACAATTAACTATCAGCAACTGGTTACTGTGGAATAGGGGCACAGAGCCCACCATGACGTTTTTTTTCTTTAAATGTCTGGTGTAGCTTAAAATGTGCTGCAGCATCATGAATGCTGACATCTTAAGATTAAAACATGCTATGAAAGTGTACAGCCATTGCTTAGTGGGTTTCTGATAATGAGGAGGTTAGGGCTGTTTCACTGGAAGTGGGTCATCAAACTGTTTCTGTGTCACAATGTATTAAGTGAAATCTTTAAATGGAGCCAATGTACCACAATAGTCAATATGTAAGGCTAAAGCTGAACTCAATAGTGTCACAAATTGGCCTTTCTAAAATGTGGATCTCAAACAGTACATTGTAGTGCAAATATGTTTAGCAACAATCAAAAAAAGGGTAGAGTTGAGGATTTTTGCAAAAGGAGAAAGTCAGAGCAAACAGGAAATCGCCTCCATTGTCAATTTAAATGGTGCACCAACTGCTTACAGTCAACAGTGCCACCAGAAACAAAATGAGGGGTTTTCTTTAAATTTGTGGAAAAACCAACTCAATGAAAGCACTAAAAAAAAAAAAATGTTGTCTCCCGTATGGATTCCTCAATGTGCTTTGTGTAAAAAAAGGTTTAAAAATAAATAAATAAATAAGAAGCTGTATACAGCTATGCATATGTTAACTGTTCCAAAAATATAATGAGTGCATGTTCATCACACCAGAAAGGATTGGACACTCAAAGACCTGTGTAATAGCATCATTGATGAGAACAGCAGAAATTCAACTTAGCAAATATTCACAGACCATCATCTTCGTCACATCTTCAGTCAGTTTCAAACTTAATTTGTCAAAGACTTAACAGACTGGGGTTATTTACAGAGACAATTGAAAATGTGGAACTTGGTAGCTGCTTAGTGTGAGGGAACAATACATCTAGCTTTCTCGCTGTGCATCATGAACACACCAAACTGATTTGATATTTAGCTGTTTCGATGAGATAAAAGACAGACAGTTTACAGAAGGTGGTAACAGACTTGTATAACATTCAATGACACATCGTACTCTGATGATCTGCCAACACTGTAGTGACAGATATGCTCTTCATGGTTACATTTTTACAATGTATCTAACTTCATGGGGTGCTCAGTGTTTCTTGATGAACTGTAAATGAGCAAAGGCGAGAACACACACTCCATGATCACATAAACACAGGACACACAAGGCTTTGAGCAGCAGTTCCCACCATGCACCTCTCACTGTGGAGGGAAACTACATCAGTGTAGAACAGAGGGAAGCATTACGGCAGTAACTCCTGTAAAAGAAGGATTACTGCCATTGTGCCCTTTCTTTTTACCCTCAGAAGTGTTGAGAGGGGCACGAGTGTTAATGAACAAAGCCATTGTGAGCACAAGATAAGCACAGGGGTTTGAGGGCAAAAGCATGAAATTAGCAAAGAAAAAAAACAGAGGAAGGGGCCATAATAACTGGAGTATTTAAATAAACCATTTTCAAAACAACCCTTATTAGCTCATATGTTTTCGCCCCCTAATGCCACCTGTGTGCGCTGTTGCAAACGGGAAATTGCTAAATCTATTAGAAAAATACAGTGCCAAAAAATAATACGTATGCACTATGAGAATGGCAGCAGCTATGTAAATATATGACAACAAATTCTCAGAAATCAGCTGAACAGCGCAACAAAATTACAACAGCGCAATTCAAGTGATAATTAGTGACCAAATAAAATACCTCCCCCCCCCAGTTGAATTGAAACTCTGGATTTTATTCAAGTCAGTACATGATGAAGCCTAGCAAGAGTGTGTTTCAGAACTGAAAAACCTCCCCCCCCACCCGCCATCCACTACCGAGGGTCTTCATGACTCAGTCTAATGTGAAGCCCGCATAGGCAGACAAGTATGTTGAAATAAAAATACATAATTATCTTCACCCTCCTCTTCTGCATGGTGGTTTCAAAAGGAGGACAGAAAGCTGCGACAGATACTGCAGAGAAATTCTTCTGAAGCTAAAGCTTAGCCGAGGCCTCAATCACAGTAAAGACGGGGTTCAAAAATGACGATCATTGTCCTCATTAACAGAAATAAGAGCTTGAAAAGAAAAAAAGCTGTGTCATCTCAGATTTTATATTTACAAGGTTAGAAATATACAGTGGGAGAGATGGGAGGGTGAAAAAGGTCGAGCAAGAGAACAATATTATTTACAGCAAGAACAAAAGCTGCAGAAGCAGTCTCATCCCTTCTAATGAGAAACACCATGTTAGCACACACAGCACACACCCACACACTCATGAATGAAGATATTCATTTGGAAACTACTTGTAATTTGGAAGGAATAATTGGACACTTTAGGAAATATGGTTATTGGGTTTGTCAGGTGACATTATCTGGGTGTTAAATAAGATGCAGAAATTAGACAACTGCCTTAGCTTAGCATAAATATTCAAATCAGGGGCCTAACCTGTCTGAAGGTAACTAAATAATAATGTTTTGTGGCCATGGGCTGTGACTTCCTCAAGTCTTGTTGCCATGAAACTGTCTCACATATCACCCCCATTACAAATAATTTTACATTTTGAACAGATTAAACATTAAACATTGGCTTTAGAGTTGGTAAAAGATGGCTTATTGACCTTCAGGCAGATCCAGGGTAGCTGTCCCCATTTCCAGTTGTTATGCTAAGCTCTAGCTTTTAATTTACTGCGCAGATGTGAGAGTGGTATTGATCTTCTCATACAGCTTTCCGTTAGAGGCAAATAAGCCTATTTCCCAAAATGTCAAACTTAGACCCATACATACATCTCTCTCTCTCTCTCTCTCTCTCCCGCTCTCTCTCTCAGTTAACTCAACAATCACACAGGCAGGCAAGCTCCAAACAAAATAAAGTGTAATATCTGCTTGAACTATCTGTGTTTGTTTGTAATGTTAGACAGGAGTTGGAGAAATGGATAAAAAAAAGGAGGGAAAGATTGAAGGTTGTGACACAACACTCTATGTAACTGCTAACCTCAAAGCTGCACAGTACAGTGTATGAAGACTGGCTGGCTACTTAGCTGAAGCATAAAGATTAAATCAGCCATTTACACACAACCTAAGGTAGATTTAATTCAAGCTAATTAACAGAGTAAAGATATCTAGGCTCATACCAGCAGGGCTAACACACACTCTGCTCTTCAGGGCAGGGCGCTTCACTTCTCATTCAGCATGTGACAGACGACCACTTCAGTATCGTGGGGGTAGGAAGGGTCTCTTCTGCGAATGGAAGGGACCACCTGTGAATGGAGGACCCTGCCGCTTGCCCCCTCGATATCCCCCACGGGGTCGGTGCTGGTTAAACTGCTGAGAGGGGGCTCGGTCTCGCTGCATAGGTCTCTGTTGGAGGTTAACTGGGAGAATCGGGGGTAAGTTAAGCAGGGGAACGGGGTTGGAGGTGTGGTTGCGGGAATGAGCTGGAGGACTGGTGGGAGGGCCAGAGGAGTGAGCAGGGTGGCGAGGGGGGTGGGAGTCGAGTGCAGGGGGATTGGGGGTGGAGGGAGAGGGTGTAGAGCATGTGGGAGAGGGGGGAGGAAGAGGTAGATTGAGAGGCTCCTTCACTCGGCCCAGCAAGGGAAGAGGAACACCTGGGCGGTGCAGGAGGGGGGCATGGCGGGGGCCAAAAGGCTCTTTAACTGTACCAGGACGGGGCAGCTTAGGGGGCTCACCTAGCAACGAGGACATGAGGGGTGGGGGGGGCATTTTGTTTCCTCTGGGCCCCATTCCGCCTCGCTCTACACCTTCAGGTCTCAGTGGGAGGGGGAGAGAAAGGGGACGGTCGATAGGGACCAACACTCCCCCTACCATGACTGCAGAGGGCACAGAATGGTGGGAAGGTGGAGGGGAAGGGCGCTGGGGTATGGGAGGCGGAGGGGGTCTGGGGATGGGTGGAGGAGGGCCGAAAAAATGGGAAGGGGGAGGATGCTGGTGGAGATGGGAGGGGGGAGGAGACTGGATGTTCTCGGGGTGGTAGGGCATCTGGAAAGGAGGAGGGTGTGCGTGGGGGTGGGACGGAGGAGGGTGGAGATGTTGGTGGAGGAGGTGAGGAGGGGGAGGAGGCATGGAGGGGCTCATGTCGTCGTTTCCAATGTTAAGAGGAGGTGGGCCGTCGTGGGGGGAGGGAGACTGAGCGTCCATGTATTCCTCCTCCTCGTACCACATCGCTCCCCCTGGTCGAGCGCCGGCCCCTCCACCCCGCCGGGAGTCTCGGCCAATCAGGCGGATGCTCTCCACCGTCTTGATGCGCTCCCCGGCGTGGGGGCGGTTCGAGTAGCCGAGAGTTTGGATCGGAGCCCCTTCAGTGCAGGGGGATACTAGAGTCTCAATGCGATGGTACTGGCCCTCCTTCCCCTTCCCCCCCGGAGACTCAGGACCCTCTCGTTTCCCCCCCTCCTCCGACCCGCTGCTGGCCCTACGAGAGCCTGCTGAGTGTTTCCGTTCACCGTTTCCTCTGTTGTTTCCCATGATCTTCAGCTGGTGTCCATCTTTCTTACCCTTCATGTCACTGCTGGGAGAAGAGGAGACCTGCTTCCTCACTGCATCGTCCTTTGATTTTGTGGCCCCCTTTTTGTCAGCTCCATACCGAGAGGAGGAGGAGGAGGAGGAGCTCAGAAAGTCTCCATTGCTGCTGCTCCCTGACGGGGTGATCACAGCGTCCCAGGGTTCACTGCGGTAGGCTGTGGGCGAGAGGGTATGACCTCCAGATGACCCTAAAGACTCTGGCACACTCCCAGGTGTGTCCATGATCTCGTCCTGGGTGGGGGTGCCAGCGGCCTCGTCTCTCACCGGGGTCCCGTCCACCCCGTCAGGACTGCCATCACCCATGGCGAGACTGAAGCCGGGGTTACCCTGCAGGAAACTGTTGATTTTTGATTCCAGGCTGGGGGGAGAGACAGAGGGAGCTGAGGTACGAGGAGGGGGCGGAGGAGGGGGAGGAGACAGCTTCCTCTCTTTCTCCCAATCTCTGCTTCTCCCAGGTGTGTCTCTTTTGAGGCTGCTCCCTATGGTGGGTTTTGCTTTTGGGGTGGTGGGGGAGAGCAGGGTTTTAACTGCTGAGGATTCTGGGGAGGTTCGGGTGGGAGTAGCAGAGGAGTTGTTTGACACACTTTGCAGGAGAGAGGACAAACCTACAGGGGACAGAAAAAGGGTGGGGAGCCAGAGACAAAAGAGATGACAAAGAAAAAGTGACATATTAGTTATTGTTTATGTACATTCTTTCATTAAAAAGGGAATGTATTAGTGTGTTTCCTACATGCGTCTTACCTGGTGTGTTTGTTTTAGTCAGAGCATTGAGTATGCCTTCAGGTGTGATGTCAACTCGTGACAGGATGCTCGCCAGGCGAGGGCTCGAAGAGGTTGCTTTGGAGGCTGCTGGTTGGCCAGAAGGAGTGGTGGGGGTTCCTGGAGACGGGCGAGGTGAGGGGCTAGCTGCTGGAGACATTTTAAAGACAGAAAATAATAGGTTTAAAAAGGGAAGCGCAGAAATTCCGAGTTAAATCAAACAATAATTCAAACTAAATTTCCCTGTGCTACATACATTGTTAAAGTATTTCAACTCTATTACTACAACCAAAGGGTCCTTAATAATTTATACAATACCGCATACCCATTTATTTGTATAGTTTCAGACAGTTTGAATATGGCATTATATATTAACTTAATGTATAAGTTATTAGTTATTTCAAACTAATAGTCAAATATTAACCACCTTAAAACATGAATTATGTAGTGGTCATTGTACAATTTATATATACATTTTTTTTTTTTATTACTGTACAAACCCTTTGATGCTACTGTGGAGGAATACCGATTTCAGATAGCGACAGATCTCCTCGAGGCCCAGAAAGAGCAAATACTAATTAATTTGTACTTTTTTTTGGACATGACCCCGTTACATTTCGTTGCAGGTTCTGATCAGTATAATGGCGCATTTCCACTGCAGCGCGTAGCACGGTTTAAGCGTGCCGTGCCAAACCCGGCCCGTTTTTTGTTGCGTTTCCACTAGGGGTAGTTCCGGCTAACGGGTACTTTTTCACAGTTTTTCTGGCCCTCCAAAATCGTGGTTCTTTCCAGGCCAACAACCGGGATGAATATGCTAAACTAGTGACATGAGTGGCTACAACTTCAACAAAATGAACATATTTTACCGTGATTTAATTGTAAAGCACGTTTCAAAATGATGCCGAAGTAACAACATACTGATACCGATTAGTAAAAATCATGAATTAATGCTTTGACAAGTCTGCAGACAGACGGCAGTCAAAAAACCTTTTAAAATGCGTGTTTTCTGAATGGAGATTGGCTAAGCTAATGCAGTATATGCTCTGACCGTCCACACTCACAACAACGGCCTAAACAGACATAAATAAACCAGCGACTGTATTCGCCATGACAACACAGACAGTCTGTTGTTTAACTTTTGTCTAGTTTCTGAACAGATATGAGGAGCTGTGAGCTCTGAGTGCTAACAGCTAACGGCTGATGTTTGGTTTTGTGGTTCGCATTGAAGATGACGTCACAGCTCCGCCTACACTGCGTTACTATATTTACTTCCCCAGTTCCTAAACTGTAATGGAAACGCAGCATAAAGTGAGCCTGGCCCAACAAGGCCTAAC